GGGGGAAAAACCCAAAACATCAAAATTGAACTCAGTGGGTGAGGAAACATTGGAGTAATCAGAGTTGAAGGTAGACCCACAGAAATGATCTAGAAAGAGATAATATATGAGATGCAGAGCATAGAATGTGACAGTTTAACTTATATCTCATGGGAGTTCTAGGAAAAGAGAGAAATTGGGGTGAAGCAGCCTTTTAAAAATAATAGCTAAAAAAAAAAATGTCCAGACTTGATCAAAGCCATGAAACCTTGGATTAAAAAAGTTCAAATAGGGGCAGCCAGTTAGCTTAGTTGGTTAGAGCGCAGTGCTCATAACACCAAGGCTGCCAGTTCAATCCCCACATGGGCCACAGAGCTGCACCCTCCACAACTAGATTGAAACAACTGCTTGACTTGGAGCTGATGGGTCCTGAAAAAGCACACTGTTCCCCATTAAAATAAAATTTAAAAAAATAGTTCACAGGGCCGGCCAAGTGGCTCAGTTGGTTAAGAGTTGGCTTAAGAGTGTGAGCTCTGAACAACAGGGTAGTGGGTTCGATTCCCACATGGGCCAGTGACACTGTGCCCAAGCTGAGCTGTCACTGAGCTGCCAACAGGTGGCAGGATGGCTCAGCTGGTGAGGCCCTGTGCTCCTAACAACAAGACTGCCTGTTCAATGGTGGGCTATGCCCACCCGCAACTAAGGCTGAACTTGGCACCTTGAGCTTAGAGGCCATGAGCTGCCGACGGGCAGCCAGATGGGGACTGGTGCCCTCCACAATGAAGACTGAAGAATAACAATTTGGCTGGTCCCCCTTCCTAATCCCCCAACACTGTTCCCCTCCCCCAATTCCTCAATAAAATGTTAAAAAAAAAAGTCACGCAAACAAAAACCTTCAAGCCCCCAAAATAAAAAGCAAATCGAGAGCTCTGAAGCCACACAAATGCTTGGAGGAACCTCCAGTGCACGTTGCTTAGTAAAAGAGGGCTACTGAGCTGTGTGATTCCAACTCTAGGACATTCTGGAAAACACTAAACTATGGAGACAGTAAAAAGATCAGGGGTTGTGAGAAGAGAGAGATAAATAAGTGATTTAATCTACTCACCTCTAACCATCAGAGATTTTAAGGACAGTGAAACTGTTCTGTGACTGTAAGGGTGGAAACATTATACAGTTGTCCAAACCCATAGAACAGAAACAAGAAGCGTGAACCCTGATGAAACTGGGGACTTGAGTTAATAAAAATGTGTCAATATTGATTCATCAATTGTAACAAATGTAGCAAGATGCTTGTAACGGGATCACATGTGATGAGGGAGAGGCATATGGGAACCACACTTTCTGCTTAGTTTTTTTGTGAACCTATAACCCAGCGGTTCTCAACCTTCCTAATGCCACGACCCCTTAATACAGTTCCCCATGTTGTGGTGACCCCCAACGATAAAATTATCTTTGTTGCTAATCTATAACTAATTTTGCTACTCTTATGAATCGTAATGTAAATATCTTTTTGTTTTCCGATGGTCTTAGGCAACCCCTGCGAAAGGGTCATTCGACCCCCAAAGGGGTCGCGACCCACAGGTTGAGAACCGCTGATATAACCACTCTAAAAAAATAAATTCCATTAATTAAAAAAATAAAAGGAAATCGAAACCCTGAGGTACTACAGTGTGGTTACAAAACACCAAAGACAAGAGAAGATCCCTCCAGGCAGCCAGGGAGGAAAGCAGATTATGTAACAAATGGGCTGACCGGGGATTGACACCAACCACAACGGAAGCTGATAGAATGTTTCAGAGAAGAGAGAAGGATAACAATCTGCCAGGATCTACGCCCAGCTAAAAAGTCATTGAAGAGTAAGGATGGAAAGAAGATATCGTCAAACAAGCAAGGACCAGGGTGCTCAGTGCCCAGACGCCCTCCCTGAGGGAGCCAGCCGGGCTCTGCCCTCGGGGTGGGGAACGCGCGGCCTCTCACCTTTGCAGTGGGCGTAGGGCATCGTGAGGGTGTAATCCTCTGCCCGGTTCAGGAAGGTGAGCGTGGCCTTGCCGTCCAGCAGAGCTGACAGCGAGTTCCCTGCAGAGATGCACAGTGGGTGGGGACGGGCCCTCGGCATCCGGGAGGCCACCCCCTGAATCGCAGGGTCTGAGCCGCCTCCCAACAGGTGTAAGGTTCCCCAGCACGTCCAGCCGTGTGACTGTGGGTGGCTCACTTAACCTGTCTCCTCAGATTCTACAAAAGCCCCAGCCGGGTCCTGAGGAGTCTCTTAGCTTGCTAAGTGGGAACATTTATTTCAGTTACTTTTAAAGCAGGGGTCTTCAGGCTGGACCTTTTATAAGAACTTTTTATAACTAGCCTGAGCCCCTGCTCTGAGTTCAAGCCCCCATAGCATGGGGACAGCCATCTCTGGGCTGAGAGTCACAGCCACAGTCAGTGACAGGAGCACTGGGGCGGAGANAGGGGCAGGCATGCGGGATGTATCAGGAGGGACCCAGGCTCAGCTGGCCTCTCATAAGCTTTGGGCCACAGAAATGGCCAAGAGTGGCTTGTCCACTGCAGAGGTGGGGACAAAGCTGGGGAGACACACACACTCCCGCCCATGAGGACAATGGGTAGAGAGGCAGGTGTGGAACCCGAGGGTCACAGACAGATGGACACTGCACCCTCTGAGCTCAGGGTTGGGGAGTCCCTGCCCCTCCCACACCCCTCACCTGCCCCTGGGCTCAGGGAGGCCCCTGGGGGGGCCCCTGGGAGGATGGTCAGGGAGGGTGTGGCAGGGAAGGGGCTTCCTCCTGGGACATGGCCACTCGCCCACCTGGGGAAGGGGCTTCTCTGGCCCTCCCACCCTGCAGAGGGGTCGGCCCAGAAGGGCTCACCGGGAACAAGGTCACTGTCATCATCTTCCTCCGAAAGTTCTGGGCAGGACTCGGGCGTGGAGCCGCTGCTCTCGGTGACTTGGCTGTGGCCAGAGGGCTGGTCGCTGGCCTTGCGTAGCCGCAGGTCTGGGCCAGGTCCCTGGACAGAAATGGAGCCACTGCGGCCGGGGTCCGACCCACACCCACCACACCCTCGGCTGGCCTCATGCTCCAGCTGCACCCTGGGGACCTCCTGGGGGTGCTGCTGGCCTTGGGGACAACAGGGCCTTTGTGCCAGGTCAGCTCTAGGAGAGGTGGCTCAAATAGGAGGAAGCTGCTGGGCTCAGGTGACAGAGGAGGTGTGACTCTGCCCCGGCGTGGGCTGGAGCAGACACAGCCCCGCCGGTCCCTGGGAGTGCTGACCTGGTGCCTGGGCCCTGGGCTGCCCACAGAGCAGGTGTGGTGGGTCATGGTCTCCCGCTGCAAGGTGTGCAGAACCCCATCTTGCTCAAACTGGGCGATGTCCTTCAGGGGGTCCCAGGGGCTGAGGCTGGAGGGTTCAGAGGGCATCCGTTGGCAAAGACACTGGCCCTCCGGGGAAGGGGACACCATCCCAGCTCAGCCCCCAGTGTGTGGGCCGTGGCCAGAGCCCCATGAGAGTGACCGGTGCCTGCACCAGTGTGCAGGGCCCACAGGAAGGGCCTGCCAGGGGATCCCCGATATGACCCCAGCCCCATTCCTCACTCCTCCAGGGGGGCAGAGGCCCCTGCTAATTTCTCAGGCCCAGGGCTGGGCAGTCTGCTGGTCCAGCCCATCCCAGGGACCCTAAGCCCCTGCCCGCCAGCACTCACTTCTCGTATCGGTAGCGCCACTCCTGGGTGGCGGGGTCCAGGTGGAATAGCTGGGGTGTCCAGGGTGCGAGGTTCTGCTGGCGCTCACGGTTCCGCTGCCGCTGTGCCTCCTCCAGTGAAAACTTCTCCTGTGTGGCCTTGTGCTGGTCACCCTCCCTGATGGCCCTGGTGACGTGCTGCCAGAGCCTGCAGGCAGGGCACCTGCTCAGAGCCAGGAACTTGGGCTGCCATGCCCCCTCAGCATTGGAGGGGAGACTTAGAGTAACCTCCACTTGATTGCCTCCAGTGACAGGGAGCTCACTGCCTCTCAGGGTG